CCAACATTCTATGATTCTATGATTCTGTGATACTAGGAAAGAAAAGTGGCTTCAAGCGAGGCTGTGGGTGTGAAAAAGAACAGGGAAAGGTTGTTTCCCCCATCAAATCGCTCACGGCTACGAGAGTTTTCACGCTGTGACGCCAAGGTTGCAGGGGTGAGGTGTGGAAATGCCTCATTGTAGTAAGGTTCTCCCCAGTGCTTCTTTCTTCTCTGTTGTTATTTCCACAGGGAGAAGATAATTTCACTTACTGTCCAGCAATGGGCCTAGCTATAGGAAACGAGCACTCGGAATTCTCTGGCTGGGCATTTCCATTTCCAGGCGTGTTTCTGGCGGAGGAGTTCATTAGCGAAGATGAAGAATCAGAGATGGTTGAGCTGATGGATCGAGATGACTGGAAACCATCACAGTCTGGCCGAAAGAAACAGGTTTGGCTTCACAAGCACATTTGTTCTTAGATCCCTCTGGAAAAGTAACGGTGCTTTCAGTCAAACCACAGAACATTTACACATTTCATTAAATGCTTTCCTCTGGAAGCTTTTCCTGAAATCCTTTGCAGTTAAAGTCAACTTCTTGCACACATACATTTATGGTAGTTGCAGCAAATCCTACTTGATGGTGTGTGTTCAGGCACTGAAGTTCACACAACCTCCAAGTGAAAGAAGGGAGTATTTTTTTTTTTTTTGTACTTTACGGGTGAGAAAATCTAATTCCAGAGAGATTAGTGTAGCTTCACTGACTCCTTTTGCAACCTGGTGACCAGGTCACTGGAAGAGATGAAAACTCAAAAGGCATGACTGCGAGCCCTGTAGGGATTGCAGCCTTTCCCAAAAGACTTGTCTTAGATTTCTTCACTGTGAGGGTGGTGAGACCCTCGCACAGGTTGCCCAGAGAAGTTGTGGATTCCTCATCCCTGGAAATGTTCAGGGCCAGGTTGGACGGGGTTTGGAGCAACCTTGTCTGGTGGGAGGTGTCCCTGCCCGTGGCAGGGGGTTGGAACTGGATGATCTTGAAGGTCCCTTCCAACCCAAACCATTCCATGAGAAACAAAAAAAAAATTCTGTGAAAAATCTAGGATAGATTTTTCCTTCACACAAGTTTTTCCTCCTTTTGTTTTCCAACAGGACTATGGACCCAAAGTGAACTTCAAGAAACGAAGGCTGAAAGCTGGCAGCTTTACCGGTTTGCCAAGCTTTAGTGAAAAGATTGTGGCACGACTGAAGGCCTGCCCTGTGCTCGGCAGTTTCTTACCTGTCGAACAGTGTAATCTGGACTATGTGCCAGAAAGAGGCTCTGCCATCGACCCCCATTTCGATGACTGGTGGCTTTGGGGAGAGCGCCTGGTTAGCCTGAACTTGCTCTCGAGAACGGTGCTGTCCATGTCTTGCGATTCAGAGGACAGCATCCAACTATTTCCCGCTCTGAGTGAAGAAAACGGGGAATCGAGTCTCTTGGGGTCTCTTGCCCAGACGTCAGCGTGCAAAAATTCAGGCCAAGAGGGAGCTGACTGCATTTTGTCCCCAAGACTTGTTCCAAGTAAAGAGGTGACCGTTGCCATTCACTTACCCCGGAGGTCCCTGGTGGTGCTGTACGGTGACGCGCGGTACAGGTGGAAACACGCGATTCAGCGCAAGCACGTTGAGCATCGTCGCGTCTGCATCACGTTCAGGGAGCTGTCTGCAGAGTTCAGTGCCGGAGGAAAGCACGAGGAGCTGGGTAAAGAACTGCTAGAAATAGCTCTTTCCTTTCAGGGAAGGCCGGTGTGATCAGCCAGGGGAAGCTGGAATTGCATTTTGTCAGGAAACTTGAAAAATAAAGTTCAAAATTTGGACAACTCCCATTCATTTCTGAAGCACGCGTGAGGAACCAGGTGTTTACAGAGGGACGCTCAATCATGTGGGAATTTCACAAACAGAAATAAGAGAGTGCAAGGACGGGGGTGGGTGGTTTGTTTCCGCAAAGACTCTTATGGGTAATGGAGCTTTTAGGCAAAAAATCAGGAATGAGCTGTTGTATTCGTTGCTAGAAAAATGCAAAAAGCCAGTTGTTAAATACTTCAACTAAAAACCAGAATTATTAAACTTAGTGGAGTACAAAATGGCCCTTGGCACAGATTCAGCCCAAGCTCTGTGGCCGATTTTAACCTTTCCTGGCCTGTGCTCCTGCTCGCCCTGCACCGTAGGGACACGATCTCACCCGCTTCAGACGAGTCCTTTAGAGACCAGCTCTCCAGGGCAGGAGGGTAAGCAAGTGTCTCTCCACAGTTAGTATGACACACTGAGAACTAATTAAAGTAATTATCTTTTGCTGAAGCTTCAAGGCTGAGGATTAATCATCAATGCTGCGCGTGACCTGTATCTCCCGGGACCCAAGAGCAGCACAGAGGGCCGATACCAGCTGTTCCACGGGGACGGCTCGGGCAGAGTTCAGACCAAAGGCTTGCACAGGCTGCGTGATTTTCTGACCGTTTGTCATGTCTGAACCCCGCTGTCAGCTCTCCATAGCAAGAGTCTGGTTTTTGGGAATACGCTGGGCAACAGACTGCCGCGCTGGCGGCTGTCATTCTTTTTTCTTGGCACCTCCGGCAGTCGGGTCTGAATCATGCCTTATACCTAAGATTCAAGCAGTCATTTGTAGCAGAAGCTGATCTGAGGCCATCTGTCTGCTCTGAGCAGAATTCTGGGGCTCTTGGAAATGAAGCTGCGCCGTGGAAGAAGTGTGAGCCTTTATTAAAACACAGATGTGTCATCAAAACCCTTCCACCCAGTCACACCTACGGCAGCAGAGCAACACTTCCCCACGCTGCCGGGTTTTAGCTGGTGCGGAGAGGGGCTGCGTTTAACACCTGAGATCTCGGCGTCCCTGCACAGCTGGACCCCACCCTGGCACAACACACAATTTTCTGTACGGAAACACGCTTGTGTTGCCCATGGGCTCTGCCCTCTGGGAGCTCTTCACCCAGGAAAAACAGGTGCTAAAAATCAGTTGGGTGAGTCGGGGTATTTTTTATCAGTTCAAGCCAACAGATACAACCACGCTCCGCCATGGCTGCAGTGAGCCAGCTGCGGTTCAGTCCAGTATTTCAGCAGTTGTGGACATCATCTATGGGATAATTGCAAGAGAGACCCACTCATGGGGCTCCCCTAAACCCCAAACCTCCACCCAGACCAGCTGGCAAGCGTCACCTACATGCTCTGGCAGTCACAGCACGTCCTCTCCAACACGCTGCTGAGAACACAGCTGGCCGACACGCAACGGGCAGGTCCTTGTGCTTCCAAAATAGTGATTCCTCCCTTTTTTCCCCCGGTGTCCCCAAGGCTCAGTGGCCGGAGAGAGTGTGATGTCTCCAGGCCGGCTCCTGGAGCTGCTGCCGGACCAGAGGACCTTCCGCCAGGCAGGAGGAAACCCAGGGCGGCTCTCACAGGTAAAGAGGGTCGAGCCCGTATCCTCATCGCCCTCTCAGCCTCTCCAGCGATCTGCTCTTTGCTCAGCAGCAATCGAGTATTTCCAGTAACGCTTGGCCCTTATTTCCAGCGCTCCCTTTTAGATTTATTTGTTTTGGGCTCTCAGCCCGTTAGAATACTTTCTGCGCGCGTACCTGCCATTTCATTCTCTTGGCAGCCGAAGCAGAGGATGGCTTCTGATGAATCAGAGTGCCACAGTGACAAGACGCACGTTATTAGTTCATTTTGTGCTCTCGCATTTGTTTGCTGAATTCTTCTGCCTCGACTGAACCATACGGGCACAGCTGCCGTCCTTGCCGGAAAATTCCAGCTCTTCCTAGCTGATAGCTTCAATTTGAACAAAATGCAAACGATTAAGTACCGAGCCAAAAAAAAAAAATGAGGGCTTTGTCTAGATGTTTTTGAAGGCCAAAACTTAATCTAGTCATTACATGGTTATTGCTGTGTCTATCATCTGACATTTTTCACCCCATAAACAGCCTCAGGGGCATCATCTTGGATCAAAAAGCAGTTGCACACCCGTCGGGTCTGGATGACTTCCTAAAACTTTGTGTACATTCTCTCCTCAAAAAGCCAGAATCGCAGTGCTGCAGAACACTAACAATTGGTTTGGACTGTCGAGGGTCAGAGAAATCTAAGAAAAGTATCAAGTTAATTAACCTGAAAGTGATTTTGGCCTCTACCCTTGTATTATTAACATAAGACAAACTATTATGGTCCTGATGTGAATTCCTATCGCAGCTGTTTATCTCCTTAACCAAGATTAGCATTTGCAAACCACGTGCCAAGAACTAGGCCCTCATTAAAAGGAAGCGCATCTAATTGTCATCTACTTGTGTATTTTAAAAGAAGGATGATTTCTGAGCAAGTTTGCTTTAAAAAAGGCAAACCCCAAGTTAACCCATAGAGGATGACTTTCAAAAAAAATCAATCTGAATTCAGCAAGAAGCATAAAACTTTGCAAGTTTATCCAGTTTTTCTCACACAGCTGGGCAAAAACTGAGATATATACGTTGTTCTACATTACATATTGTTCATACAGAGATAAAACAAGAATAGGCAAAGCTAAAATACAGAGTTTTGGGGTTTTTTTTGCTCCTAGCACCTAGCACTCATCATCATTACAACCCCAGGCAGGAGGCAAGCTCTGGGTCGTACACACAGGTAGTTGGGGGAAAGCTTTCCAGACTCTGCCGGTCAGTAATTAGTGAAACTGCTCTGTTTGGAACAGGTACAGAGGAGACAGTTAATTGGAAAACAACCACGCTGGCCCAGTTGTGCCGGGACCCGAATTTGAGGGTGGGGGGGGCTATTGAGGGAGCAGTCTTAAAAGTAGAGGCAGAAAGCTTTAGAAGATCACAGAATCACAGGATGTTGGGGTTGGAAGGGACCTCTAGAGATCCCCCAGTGCCACCCCCTGCCAGAGCAGGGTCACCCAGGGCAGCCCCACAGGAACGCGTCCAGGCGGGTTGGAAAGTCTCCAGAGCAGGAGACTCCACACCCTCTCTGGGCAGCCTGGGCCAGGGCTCCGGCACCCGCACAGCCAAGAAGCTTCCCCGCATGCTGAGGTGGAACTTCCCATGTTCTAACTTATAGGTAGCAAAGCTACGGCAGCAGGGAAACTTGAAGGCCTTTTGTTTGTTTGAAGGCATGGAAAGGATGTTACGAAATCCCTCAGAAAGCCACGAAAAGGCAAGAGGAGGAGGTGAAGCGCAAGTGCCTGAGCCAGCCGGGCATCCTGTGCCGCCATCCCCGCCACGGGCTGGGGTTGCCGATCCCTGAGCCCTGGCATCGGGGAACTGACGGATGTTCGCCCTGCGGCAGCACCCACCCCACCAGCTCTCTACAAGCCCTTACACAGCTCTGAGTGCTCCCCGCAGGGCGTGCTTTGCCCGGCATCGCTTTCATCTGTGGGGCGGGCTGAGCCCCAACGACCAAAACCCAACATCTCCTCCATCTCGGCCATAAAGCCTCCTCGAGAGCCACACACCCACTGAAATGACGAGGCAGCAGCTGCCAGAGCTGAGCCTGCCCCAGAGCGACGTTAAAAATAGGGAGATGGGGAGTGAGAGCGGCCACAGACCACAGCAAAGGGGGAACCTGAGACTGCTCCGGCTCCAGCAGCTCCCTCCGGCTCACGTCTGCACCCGGTCTCGACTGCAGCTAAGGAGGGAAGGAGAGAGAAGTCGTCTCTTAAACCCAGGAACGACACGAAGCAGGGCTGTACCCTTGTTCCTTGACAGTTCCTGCCTTGCTTCAGAAAGCATCCCTCCAGCGCTGGAGCCTGCAGAGGACTCCAGAGAGGGATTGTGGCTGTTGTAGGTGAGCCCCACTGCAGAAATGGCAGAAACAGCCCAAACAAGCAATAACTGCCCCAGAGAGTTGCAGCCTGAGGGAGCTGAGGATGAGGGTAACAGCCACCCCAAACCACAGCTCCCAGAGCTGGTACAGAAAGCTGACACAGCTGTCAGGGGACATGCTTGACACGTGTCCCCAGCCTGAGGGCGGGACCTGTGGGAGAAGCATCTTTGTGCAGGCACCGCAGGAACGGAGGACACCCCAGGAACGACAGACACCTCGGGAACAATGGAGAGGTGACAGCACGGGACAGATGTGACACAGCTGCCAGCCCTGCTGGGACACCAGTGGCAGTGTGGAAAGGTTGGCATCTCCACACTTGACCAATGGGAGTCCTGCTGGCAGGGGGACAGTGGCAGAAGGAAGGAGGGTTTTCTGGCGTGGCCCCACAGAAACACCCAACCGGACACGTATGACGTCCCCACTCCTTTATGGATGAGCCACCGCGGCTGATGCCACCGCACCCCTTCCACGCCACAGGTCTGGACCCAGCGGTAGTGAAAACAGAAACGAGCTGGAGGAAGAGAGGTGGGAGCAAGAAAAGCAAATGCTGCCGTCGGGGAAGAAGGAGAAGTTACAGCACGAAGGTGATGGATAACCTGGAGATTCAGACATCAGAGACAAAGAGGAGAAACACTCCCATGGGCTTCTCGCCGTGCCCAGAGAGACACAAGGCACCAAGCTGCAAGCAAAGACGGGAAAACGCATCATTATTCTGTCTGAAGCGTGTTCACCCCTGGGACACCTCCTCAAACCGCACCTCAGGCTCCCCGCTGCCTTGAGGCGATCCCAACGCCAGGCACAGACCCGCTGCCTTGAGACTCGTCTCGATTCCGACCCCACCAAAGCTGTTCTACAAAGCCAAAGCACATCTTCTGCTGCATTTCCGCATTCGCCGCAGTTTATTGTATTTACAAAGGATTAAACGAACGATTTGGCTGTTTCCAAACGGGCCGCATTGCTTTCGCAGCACTGTATGCACGCTGTGAAACTTTATTTTTTTTTTTAATCACAAAAATGTTTCAATGCTTCCCTCGACAGCTTCCTGAGCTCTGCAGCACACAGAGTCCTATTATTACCGATGTTCAAGGAGAGGGCAAAGTACAAATGAGACATTCATTTGATCTGGTCCGGCTCTGGCCTCACAATGGAAATTTTGTCGCTAGAAGAGCCTACATGTAAAATGCTTGGCAGAAAAACCCACTCTGGTTGTGTTGCGTAAACCTTTTCATTGTTATTATGGCAAAAAGAGGAGGGAGAGAGGGCAGAGCCCCTGGGGAGACGGCACGAATTCCATGAGCGCCCACTTCCAGGAGGACACCCCTCCTTTTCTGTGCGTAAGGACGGAGCAGCGACGCGGCACGCAAAGACCGCTCTCTCTGCCGACGCGGCGCACGCCCACAGCGGACGAAAGCCGCGGACACGGCAGCTTGTTCAGCAACGTTCAAACCCGCAGGTAAACAAGAAGGGTTTGAGTTGGTTTCCCAAGGCCCTCGCCAGGGACGGTCTCACGCTGCTGCACTGAGATTTGCCTGTGCTCTCCTCCACTTGGGGCAGCCAACACATCTATACGCTGCGGCCAGGTTTCTCAAATCCCAGGGGAGCAGGGTTAAACAGAACATTACAAACAAACTCAACGATTTCAGAAACCTCTAAGGCCTGGGAGACTCTGAAGCTGCAATGTTTGAGTTCAGAGCAGGAAACCAGCACAGGATCAAGGCCAAGAAAATGCTTCCTTCAGCCCCACATGGCAGAAAAAGTTACTTTCCATTAGAAGAGCTGCTGATGGCAAAACACTCTTTTCCCTCTAAAAAGTTACCATAAATCATTTTCACAGAAGTTTTCACCCACATGGACGCTGGAGAATTTACAAGCTTCCCTTGCTAAGCAATACAGGCGTGCGAATGACATTTTTCTCTGCTGCTGAAAAAAAAAAAGAAGTCAGCTCCTAGGAAATGCAATAGCTCTGTCACGGCACACGGCTCCCAGTACAGCTCCACGTTCCACCAGAGGAGTTGCCTGCTCTGCTGGAGCGAGAAGGAAGCATTCGTTTTGGAGAGACAAACGCTACAGCTGGCCAAAAAATAATTAAAAAAAAGTATTAAAAAAAATAATCATACAACTGATGAAATACGCAGGGCTGGGGCTTGTTCTCTCCGGCAAACCGGGTGAAAGACGTCACAAAAATACCTAAAGGAAGACGACATCGCGACAGGTTTCTCCAACACTCTGTGTGCTGTCACTCCTTACCTCCTTGAAACTGGCTCTTCTAGTCCTTCAGAGTTTTGCCTCATTAAATTCCCTACCACTGTTCTGTTTTAAGAATGTCCTTGTTAAAACTAAAACACCTGTAAGCCTTCCCTGGGCACTCTCGCCTGTTCTTGGGAAAAAACACACGATCTTGGCCTGTGTTCAAACTCAAGGGACAGACGCTGCTAGAAGAACGTACGACAGAACCGCCCAGCAACTCGAAAATCGAACCTCGCCCCAGCTGTGAAATAGCAAGAAAGGAACATAAAAGCTAAGGCTGATTTCTTTCTGGAATACTTGCAGTAAATTTATGCAATACTTGCTTTGGAACAGAGGTGCTCAGCGCTCCCAGTGTCTGTTGTGCTGTCCTGGGTGTCCCCAGGTGAGCGGCAGGTACCCCGTTAACTGGCTCGGCTCTAGAAAGGAGCTGCCAGGGAACCGCTGCTGCGCTGACACAACCAGGGGGCTCTGACACATGAGGCAGGTCCTACAAACACACACACACACAGAGGCTTTTGGGACAGCTGCTGCCATTTCACTTTTGGCAACAGAATCAAAAATACCGACTTTTTGGCCACCTGAACTAACGTTAAGGTAGAGAGAAGTTTTGACCTTGAGTTCCATGACTTAAGTACCGAGTGTGTAGGACCAGAAACGGGCCAGCGTGTGAAACAGCACAAGAACCCACAGCTAGACACGGCAGGCAAGTAGCGTTTACATATTGAAGCCTCAAGACAATCCGTCTGTGGCGCTTCTCACCACATAGCAAAAACGGGGTTATTTTCCTCTTGGCCTTAGCCGGGCGGGTTCGCCTCTGCCCGCGTCACACCACCTGCATGCCTCTGTCGTGCCCGTCCAGCTGCACTTTCAGTTTGTGAAGCTCCTCGATCTCGCGGTTGTGGCGCTCCGTTTTGTGCCGCACCAGCGAGCGGTAGAAGTGGATGGTGAAGACAACGAAAATCAGCCCCACGGGCACCATGATGATGGTGGAGACGAGCGCCGACTGCCAACCCGCGTGGCCGCTGGGCTTCTCGACGTTGGTCGTCTCGTTTTTCAGGATGGAGCCCACGGGCAGAAATTTGATCCAGCAGAGCAGCACGACTTCGGCAAGGAAAAGGAGGATCCCCAGGACGGTGGAGAAGCCCCAGGCCAGCTCGATGTAGGGGTGCATGCGCTCGTGCGGCGACTCACTGATGGAGTTCAGGTTGTGGATGTTGCTCACCGCTTCCACGTTGGGCAGGATGCAGGTGCTGATGAGAAGGGCGAAGAGATGAACCGCCACGAGCACGGTTGTGCAGGCGCTGAAAGCGATCAGCAGCATCTGGGGGTACTTGTACTGCACCTCCAGCTGCACCTCCACCATGGCAACCTGGGCGGGGGAAAGAACAAAAAGCTCGTCAGCAGCTGCTCACTCTTTTTGAGGCTTCCATCCAGGAAAGTATCTTTATTCAGGAAGAGCCCCTAGGGTTAAGTACACAGTCAAGTGCTTTTTAGAACAGCAGCCTCAATGGATTATTTCTGTTTCCCACCAAGATGCGGACACGCAGCCTGCAGCTCGGCTTTTCTGAGGGCTCACACGCATGTTTTGGTTTTCCAAAATGACCGATCCCTCCTTGCAACCGCGACCCACGTGAACTGCATCAAACCAAGCGCGCGACAAAAGGAACTCGTTAGACAACAAGTGGAGCTCGAAGGCAGCTGGCGGCCCGCTCGCCCGCCTGCTCTCCGTCCGCTCCCCGCTTACGGCTGCAGAGCTGGAAGTTTCCACTTCACACACGGGAAGAAAAGCAAAAGGAAAATCAAGCAGCTCCTCTGGCCAGTGGCCAGCGAGGTTTCACTGCCCCCCATGGGAAGCTCACAAGCTACTGCACAGTTTCAGTTAAAATAGCTGCCTTCTATTCTCAGAACATTGTACGTTTAGGGTTGGAGGTTTTTTATTACAAATATGCCCAGATACCAGATATTTATATCCTCGAATTTCTCCCCTGAGAGCTAAGAACTTACTGACGGACTCGGCAGAAGGGGGCAGCTACTGGCGTATGGGTGTGCTCCGCAGCCCCGCGAGGAGCCTGCTTTCTCCAAACAAGAGCTAGCGCAGAGCAAGCCTCCAAAGCTGTCTATTTTTAATTTAACCAAATAAAGCTTCACAAGCAGGGTAAGCACCAGAGAGCAGGGAGCTCTTCTGAGATCAGAACTGGAGTCCTTGCCCACACCTGGTAACTGGTTTAGCGTAAGAATTTGTAAAATTACTTAACCTACCTGGGCAGTACGCTAGTACTGCTGCGCGGTGGCGTCCCTGGAGGGACTGCAGAAACATTTTGCTACGAGAAAGCACAAAAAACAAAGGACAAGACTCCTCTCTAGTAATGCTGAACTGCACAGATACCAACTGCCTGGCAAAACCCTGAGAGGGTGTGGAGTCTCCTGCTCTGGAGACTTTCAAACCCGCCTGGACGCGTTCCTGTGGGGCTGCCCTGGGTGACCCTGCTCTAGGTGATCTCTAGAGGTCCCTTCCAACCCCCAACATCCTGTGATTCTGTGAAAACCTCCAGTGATCCCAGCTGGGAAGCTGCTCCGGCACAGCACAGCTCGCTGACCCGCCGAGGAAGGGAGAAGCCGACAGCTTAGGGCAGCACCTCCTCGAAATCATCGCGAGAAAGCGAGCTCCAAACAAACAGCTCAGTTCTGGGGATTCTGCAGAACAGACTCGTGATCACTTTTGACCAGACTTTGCTTGAGACCACCGCTGAGCAGCCACTTCAGGCTCTCTGCAATAATCTGCCCCACTCACTCCAGAGTTACTCGTTAACGACACAATTTAGGCACCAGCAGACGAGGGGTATGCTCACGCTCTCCCTGCTGGGAGCACCAAAATCATTGTGACAGTTCTTGGGCATTCCCAGCCTTTTGTTCTGATTATGAACACGTGGGGGATTTTTTTTTTCCCCCCTAAAGGTTCCTGTTTGCAGTTTACCAGAGTTCTTGTCATACAGAAAAAATCACAAGGCAGGACTGGCTTCACCATTTACCGCAAGGGCAACTTAATTAAAACTCGTTACACACTGCCTTGCATATGTTCTCTTCAGCTGCCCTTATACTGAGTCAAGAAGGAGGAGATCAGGCTTTTTCTCTGTTCTGTGCAGTGAATTCGTAGAATCATGGAACAGTTTTGGCTGGAAGAGAGCTTCCAGATCATCGAGTCCACCCTTTGTCCCAGCCCCATCAACCCACTAAATGATTCCCCTCAACACAACATCCACTTGTCTCTTAAACACCTCCAGGGACGGTGACTGAACCCCCTCCCTGGGCAGCCTGTTCAATGGCTGACAGCCCTTTCAGTGTAGAAATTCTTCCTAATATCCAACCTGAACCTCCCCTGGCGCAATTTAAACCCATTTCCCCTCGTCCCGTCACTCTCCACTGGGGAGAACACTGGGGAGGGTGCCTCGCTGCACCCTCCCTTCAGGCAGTTGCAGAGAGCGATGAGGTCCCCCCTCAATCTCCCCTCTTCTCTAGGCTAAACAGCCCCAGCTCCCTCAGCCGCTCCTCGTACAACACGTGCCCCAAACCCTTTCCCAGCTTGGCAGCCCAACTCTGTGCCCTCTCATGCCCCTCTTGGAGTGAGGGGCCCAAAACTGGACACAGCACCAAAGCTGAGCACAGGGGCACGATCACCTCCCCGCTCCTGCTGACAGCACCATTCCTGATCCAGGCCAGGACACCGGTGGCCTTCTTGTCCCCCTGGGCACACCGCTGGCTCCCGTCCAGCCGGCTGCCCGCCAGCACCCCCAGGTCCCTCCCTGCCTGTTCGCACTGGGCTGTGATTTTCGGCCACCAGCCTGGAAAAACTGCAGGTGTATTGTTCATTGTTGTAACACGCAGAGACGTAGTATTCAGCGAGTTGAATGGGAATTGTACCTGCGTGTTCAATTTATAGCTTTAATATAAAGCCACAAGCCCGGCTCATGTCAACGTATCAATTCCTACTTGTTATCCCTCGCGTGAGCAGCACTTCTGGGCTAACTGGATGTTTCCTCCCAGACTAACCTATTCCCTAGGGCTCTGCAACGCGATGAAACCTTAACACCAACTGATGGCTCGGTGCGAGGTATCTCAGGGAAAAACATCAACAATCCAGACAGGGCAGCAAGGCAGGAAAACAGTTCGTTTAACCTGAATGAGCTCTTACTGCTTTTCCCTGCGCAGGCTGTCACATCATTCTCTGACCGGGATAAGAAAAAGAGGACAAGCTGACATAACCCATTTAAAAAAAAAAAATCATTAAATACGCTGCTCAGTCCGTAAAACTATTAATATGTCATGTCTGATACAATTATACTCCTCCACGGTAACAGCCCCCTTTATTTCAACCTCTTCCCAGAAGCCCAGGCATCAAGGGCTCGACTTTGCGAGGCGCTGAGCACTCTGCCAGAGAGTATTTTTCACCACGGGCTTAATTTTAAGCTTGAGAATCACCCTGTTGAACTCCACACTTGCAGGTTTGCTGAAGGACAACATCTTGAAATTAAACTGCAATTAAGCTACATGCAATTATGTGTTGGCTTTGTTTTGTTGAAGGGGGGTGGTGTTGTTTTTTTTGTTAAGACTAGTATAGCCCACAACGAAGATGATGTTCAGCTTGAGAAATTTAGACCAGGACAGAAAGTATCGGGCAAGAAAGGATAACAAATGGCTTAACACAAACAACGTTACATTCACACAGATGGTTTGGCAGCCTCTAAAAACAATCACTCCAGCAGATCTGCTAGTTTGGTGCCTTTGTGGTTTTTTTGAAATCAAATACATACCCTGTAGCAACTGGACAAGACTGATGAGCCGCAATGGCTCTTATTTCCATCAAGAAAAATCATTAAGGAGCTTTCCTAAGCTCCTGCTAAACCTCCTTCAGCTGGGGCTCCCTGGCAATCAGCCCCACGGCCGCCTCCAGACCGACCCAGCATCCTCCGGATCTGCCCAACGCCACAAACCCCGGAGAAAGCGGCAAGGAAGGTTTGCATTTTAATCCTGCAGCCTGTCCCCGAGGAGCTGGATCGAAGCCGCCGCCTGTTGATTCAATACCCATCAGCTCGGAATAATTTGCGGCCAATATGGAAGCAGCTTGAATCAAGCACGCTGACAGGGAAGTAAATAAAGCGATGGCCAAGCCCTGGATGACATTTGTTGACATAGTTAAATGCGCACCGGGCTTCAGGGAAACTACTTAATTCTAAATAACTTCTCTGTTGTCATCAATAGCCAAATAGACGCTCGTATTAGAGTAAACATCCGGGTACCAAATACCGGCGTGTCAAACTGCCAGCGGAGAAATCACCTGGTAGGAACAGTTACCGCGGCTTTCACTGGAAGGTCCAGTGGGACCAGCTGGGAAGGAGCTTGTGAATAAAGAGAATTCCTTATTGCAAAATTTTTTATTTCCAGCAATTGCTGATTTCAGGTGTACTTATTATAGAACCATGGAATCATTCAAGTTGGAAAAGGCCCTTGGGAACATCAAATCCAACCACTAACCCTGCTCTGCAAAGCTCACCCCTAACCCATCTTCCCCAACCCCACATCTCAACAACCTCTAAACACCTCCAGGGGTGGGGACTCAAACCCCTCCCTGGGCAGCCTGTGCCAAGGGCTGGCTGTGAAAAAATTAGTCACGAGGCTCACAGAGCTGAGTAGTTCTAACTGCAAATTGAATTTATGCTCCATCTATCGACTCCAAACCGTGAGAAGAACCCAGCCCCAACCTCTCCACACCGTCCTTCCAGGCAGTTGCAGAGCGATGAGGTCTCCCCTCAGCCTCCTCTTCTTCACACTCAACAGCCCCAGCTCCTGCAGTCGCTCCTCATAAGGTTTATTCTCCAGGCCCTTGCCCAGCTCTGTTGCCCTTCCCCGCACTCGCTCCAGCCCCTCGAGATCTCTCTGTCAGGCTGATGATTATAATTAACAGCACATATTGGGTTTGCGTGGCCGGATTTTGGGGGTGGGGGAGCTGCAGGGTGGCTTTGGCAAGAAGCTGCTAGAAGCTTCCCGAGTCT